CAACAAACAACGATACCAATGCAAGAATTTTCAATTCCATAATACCACTCAAATTCCACGAGGAAAAAACTACTCCTGCTGGTATGAAAAGTAGTCTTTCGTGTACTAATGTCAATTATTCATATTCTTAGGTTATATATTTATTGGGCTTGGAACACAGCAATCTACAGGTATTGGAATGCATGTTTTTAGCCATTTCATCCCAACGATCGAACGTGAAAATCTTGATTTTCAAGATCCATATATTTCACAATGGAACAGAGAACTACTCCTATCCGCCGGACAAATTGCTCGATACGTTTATGATCAATTCATAATCAATAATACATCCATTATTACAAAACAAGAAGCATTACTTTCAATTTCTTCATTTCAATTTCAACCATCTGTTCCAAATAATAAGATTGGTATATAATATATGAAAACATCGAAATATATAAAAACATCTTTTTTTATTTTCAGGCGATACAATTCAATCCGGATTCTTCGACGACACTAAGCTTTTTGTACGTGTGCTTAAATCTACCGATAATCCTGGTCTACATATATTTTTATCCAAAAATTCCTATTTATCGTCTTCTGAACATATGGATTCGTTTCTTCGAGTCCCACTTATTCCCTTTGAATTATCACAAACTCATTTTTTTACAATTCTGCAAGAACGTGGATTGATAAACAATGCCGATTATCAATTCATCGAACAGAAACTATCAGAATCCAGTTCAATTCTTATACTTAATGAATTTATTCAACTAGTTCATTACTTATCTACAAGTAAGATTACAAATGAGTGGTCTCAACGTATTCTTTCCGTTGTACGCTTTCGTGAAACAATTAGATCAGATATCATTATAATGAAAAATTTCAAATTTTATGACCCATTCAACGTTCCATCGGTTCTTAAACTACCACAAAGTATTTTATCAGCTAGTATTGCTGTTCACTTTTCGGGTGAAGAACTCCAGAGTAGATTATATTTAACTCCATGGTCTCTTACGGAACTAATTGACTACTATTTGCATGCAGACCAACGATACATATTTTTGCTTCCGAAAGCAAATGTGCAATTGCTTAGTTTGTTCTCAAAACAATTATATCAATTTCAAGAATTAGAATGGAATAAAATACAACTAACTTTATCTGGCATTAAATGTATACAAACAACACGTGGGATGAAAATACCTAGTGAATCATATATTCCATCAAAAACTCTATCGTCATATGATATTCCTATTATCAAGTTTAATACGACTGAAGAAGATGTTAATGATTCTGAAAATAATTATTCATCTCACAATTCTTTAGATGCTTTCATTTCTATTGAATTTCTTAAACGACTTGGATGCCGTACTTTTCATTTAGGATCATTTGTTGAATCTCAGAGTTTATCATCCAATGAAACCATGGAAATCTTAATTCCAAAATTAATGCAAGAACGAAAGAATATGACGGATGCAGATTTCAGTGCTTTGAAACAGAAAAGATGGCTGCAAGGTTAGTAAAAGATTGATTCTGAATTGCATGAACATTGTATCTAGTTATAATCTCTGAAAGCATGAGAAGAACATAATCAGTTAACACTAAATTAAGAAAGCAAAAGGAGATTTCAAGTTTTGCGATGTTTTTTGCTGGGATCCAAATAAGATATACCCTCTACCTACCCTTACCCTCTAGTTAGAACTGCTGTAAGTGATTTTTTTATCTATGATCTTATTTTGAGAATAGGCACGGCACATGACTCGACCGGAAAAACAAATCGTCAATGTGTTCCACAAGAACTTTATTTTCCATCAGTTGCGATCGAACTTAATTGGCCCACATTACTTGTCATTGATTGGCCTGATATTAAATCGACCTCACAACAATATCTTTTTCTCAAACAACTAGGCGTCCGTGAAGTACCTGATTTATCACTCCTAATCGATCGTATTTCTCAAGAACACAATGCAAAATCATCCAACGAAAAGAAAAATCAACACAAATATCAATTACCCAAAGCACTTTCTTATTTCATCAAATATTTTCAACAACATTATTCTTCATTATGGACCACAACACACACCAATCAATTGTTTCTTCCATCTCGCTCTCCTACAACAATTACAAATGATGATGATGCTGATAATAACAATAATCACAGGAACAATCAAGTCATTTTATCAAAAGCAGATCAACTTTTTCAAGGTATTGTATCTGATGAAATGAGTCTAAACATATTTATTTGATTCTGAAATATACTAGATGATAGTCCATTATGTAACACATTATTACCTCAAGTCATGGAACTTTTCTCAAAATATTCTTTCGATATAGCAAGATTCAACATAAAAAAATCTCCTTCAATAGATACTGCCTTTGGATTATTTATGGAGAGAAAGAATGAATTATTGTTCACAATCGAATCAACAAGAAAGATTTTTGCTTATCTAAATCAAGTTTATGAATGGAATGAAAAACGTTTCAACGAATATGTTAGTCGAATTGATTTTATTCCTTTGCAAGGTTTGTTGTATTCTTATAAGATAAAATATCGAATTGTGACAATTTGACATTTAGGAAGTACAATACTAAAGAAACCATGTGAAGTATTTATTCGTTCGGATAATATGATATCAGTTGAAAGTTCAATAAACAATGTGGATACAAGTGGACTGATCGATTATGTAGATTTTGGTGAGGAAGGAAATAGTTTCCTGAAAAAGGTTGGTGTTTGCTGTTGGCCATCAGCATCGGTACTTGCTCAACTTCTTCTCGATCGACAAGCTAATTATTTCAGAAATTCAAATCAAAATATCGAGATGCACTCGAAGAAGATGGATATTTATCTCACTTGTTTGCAAAAACTTGCAGGTAGTGTTACCGAATTAAATGAACCGGCTTTGGTCCGTCGGCTTCAAACAGAACCATGGTGTCTTGGTTACGAACTTAGTGAAGACAAAAATGATTCAAAGATGAAATTGTTTCGCATTGTATCTCCACAAGATGTTTATCTGAACGATAATAACGTTTGTGCCGTTATTTTTCACGTATTATGTGCACCAGATGATCGAACATTAAGCAACTTATACAAAAAATTCGGATCTAATTATTTATCGAAATATGTGACAATAAATTCGGATCCAATAGGTATGTACATTTTAATTAGTGATATTATATATTATCCTAAGTACGATATCACACTTATTGTTCAAAAGATATACGCGAAAAAAGAGGAATATTACTTCTAGATAGCTAAGAAACAAAGTCTTTCAAAGATTCCATTTTATAGAATTATTTTATAATTCCAAGGTTTCATAAAACATGATGTGAAATAGAATTGAGTGAAGTCTACTTGAAACTTTGGTATATATTTATAGGTGTAACTAAACGAACAGGTCGAGGTGATGACCTACAGATTTTAATCTTGGAACGTCTCGATATCTTGTTTATCGATAAACGAGTGAGTACTGAAAATAACATATAGTTTATTAAAATTCTTTTTAGCGTAAAGCACTACCCAATCTTAATAACTATAACGTTGAGCTTATTCGTAAAACATTGGTCGTATGTGAAAACACTAACATTCGACATCAAATAACGTTCAAAGGGAATATCGTGACACTTCAAGTAAGCTATATTATGTTTATAGTTATTTTCTTATTTATTTTTATAGCCAATTGATAGTTCATCTTGTGTACTTGTTCACAAACAAGATAAAGTGACATTATACTTACGAGAAGATGAAGTAGCTATTGATCTCATGGACGTTGCTGTCGAACTTTCTCGATTTACACTCGGAAAAAACCATGAATTTGTTTATACCATTAAGGATTTGTTGTCAGCAACATTACGACAACTCGAACAACGCGGTGTACGTATTGATCTGTTGAAGAAGAACAAACAACAAACTGAAAGTAAGCTCTGTTAAATACAAAATTTTATATTTCAAAAATATATCAAAAAGAAAAATGAACGCTATAATTATTTTGAGTGATTTGTTTTTCTGTTGAATTCATTTAGAATTGATGATGAATACTCCTAAAATATCAGATCAAGATGAACAGAACACGAGTAAATATTGACTCGCAATACTATTGCAACTATGTTTTGATGTCTTTACTAGATAAGATGACAGATAATTCATGCACAAAATCGACTAATGCAATTCCACAAACTAAAGATGCATCTAAAGATCCAAGTAAATATTTCTTTTATATCGAAAAAAAAGAGTGTGGCAATAAATTTGAATTACTTGTTCAGAGTCATCCGTTATAAAAGAAGAGAGAAGACCAAAGTCGCCCGTAAAAACAAGCAAACAACAACCACTTGCTTCAAATGTTGAATGTAACTATAAGCCGAAAAAAATACCAGATTTCAGTGTAGATAAACAGAAAAAAGAAAAAAAAGTCTTAAAAACCATTAAAAACGGTCAACCATATATTAGTTCGAATTATACCTATCCGGAATATAAGAAAGAAGAAACAAATATTGTATGGCAACTGATTCCCACTATTCAGATGAAGCGTTATAAGGATGCATTTCATTCTATTCCATTGTTTCTCTCTGAGAATGTCAATGAATCAAAAATAATGATGGATGAAGCTAAGCAACTTGCATGGATACTCATTAATTTGGCTCGTCATGTATTTGAAATTCCTACTGAAACTATTCATCTTTATCAAGATGTCGATGGAGGTAAAGTTAAAAATGAATTTTTAAATATCAGTCATAACTTCAATTTTCTGTAGATAGTATTCAATTCAATCATAATGGTTCACTCTTTTTTAATATTCGTTATTTCAAACAAATATTTGCAGATCGCATCAGACCATTTCTTCACATTCGATCAACAACAATCCCTGAAATACATGAAGTTATTAATTTCTATTTTATAAACACATGTCATGCACTTGCGTATAACATCTATGATAGACAATTATTTCACAGTCTACAATGGATAGCAGTTTATTTCATGTATAAGAATGATTTGTTTCTGAAACAATTCTTATTTGATGAGTATAACATTTGAAAACAAAATGATTTGTCCTTAATCAATAGACAGTTATCAGTTATATTTTTAAATAAATTATCTAATCAAGATAAGAGATACATATAACATATCTGCACCTATTCGTACCCACTCTATCTTCAAATAGTGTATATAATTTAATGTCATGATTATTTTTCTTTTCAGATTGAAAAACACTTACATATATATTTAATGTCGAGTAAGAAACGTTCATCATTTACCAAGTTGAAAGATATTCAAACGGATTCATTGGATAATGGATTTGAAGGACAAGTGACAATTAATACACGGATGTTTATTGACAAAGCTCTTGCTCGTTATTCATCTGACTTTATTATCTGTCGCGAACTTATTCAAAACGCAGATGATGCACATGCAACATGGTTTCATTTCGAGATTACATGTTGTCCATTGAAAGATCTAAAAGATTTTCAAAGTTCTCAAGGTAATCATCCAGTTCGACATCGATCGACGCAATTTATCAGTGAAATATCGAATGCTTTTCGAATATTTAAACCCAATACACTACTTTCTCCATCAAGTGAAGGAAGTCATGCACCTAATAATGTTTTATCAGAACGAGATTTTCATAACTATTGTATTACTGAAATTCGGGCTAACAATAATGGACGTGTATTTAATGAAACTGATTGGGAACGGGTAATGTCCATTGCAGAAGGCAATACTGATGTCGATGCAGTCGGTCAATTTGGTGTTGGATTTTTCTCCGTTTTTTCTTTATGTGAAGAGCCAATAATCATATCCGGAAATGAGTATATGGTATTCATGTGGGAAAATGATGTTTTATCAACAGTGAGAAATGAAATGTCCGATGAACAGCAAAATCAATCGACTACAATCATTCTGACACTAAAGAATTACTATAAGTTACTAACTGATCCAACATTAACAGCGGGCAATCAGTCCAAATCAAATAAAAAAATGAGCGATATAGAACCAAAAATCGATTTAACAGAGCTTAAAACGTATTTTACAAAAGGTAACTACATAGTTATAATATATCTCACGTGGAATTATTTAACTGTAATTGGAGGTGCAGTTTTGAAAGATTCATTTACTAATGATTTAGAATTAGGAGAAAAATCTGTACAGTACCAATATAGATACTGATGATTGTTTGAATATATTAGATAACTTTTTAAATAAATTTATTTTTTTCTACTATGTATTTACTATCGTCCGCTTAGCCTAATTACATCATGATCTTTGTTTAGTACTCTCGTTCACAAAGCACATTAACGAACTTACCATCAAAATCAATAATTTGATAGTGTTTCATGTCACTAAACGAAATAAACTGGCGCCGATGCTTAGAGATGATTTGCATTTTTATGTAAAAAAATCTATTAATAATATGCTGTCTTTTAATTCTTATGAACAAACTACACAAACATTTAATATTATGAATGGTCCATCGATAACTTTAAATCATGTCTCTGTTCAAGCATCAGTACATATTGATGATAGTTTTCATCAAGAAATTCGACAGATCCTGAAAAAAGATTTACCGACCACTGTTCGAATTACACTTCTGTTTACACCAAACACGGTATGTTACTTATTTTCATAAATTCTTAATACCATAATACACTTTTAGATTATTGAGCAACAACTTCAATCTTCAGTAAATAAAGACATTAATGCAAAAATTCTCAAATCATTGATACCACTCAAATCTAATAAAAATGAAATTATTCCTTCTGGTAAAATAAATACTTGAATAAACAATTCACTATAGATGTCTAAGAGTCGTTTTAGAAGATAAATTTAAACTATTTTTTCCATCTTCTCATATTTAAAAGTATAATATTTTCTATGAGTAGTTTTGCATAATCTATTGAAATGATGACTTGTACGCTAATGTATGAATCATTTTTCAGGTTACGTATTCATTGGTCTTGGAACACACCAATCCACAGGTATTGGAATGCATGTTTTCAGTCATTTTATACCAACGATCGAACGTGAAAATCTTGACTTAGAAAATCCACATATCTCAAAATGGAATCAAGAACTTTTATTATCAACTGGACAAATTGCTCGATTTATTTATGATCAAACAATGAATAGAAATTCGTTTATTAACAACAAACAAGAAGCATATCGTTTCATTTCGTCATATTCATTCGAACCATCAGTACCAAATAATAAAATTGGTACATTGTTCTTATACAATCAGACTATAATCATCATTATTGTTTATTCTAGGTGATGCTATTCTATCAGGATTTTTTCATACGACTAATGAACTTTTTGTATCTGTGCAACAATCACCATCGAATTCTGAAATTCGTTCAATTTCATCTAAACAAGCTTATCTCGCCCATTCACCGGATATCTATACATTTCTTACACTCCCACTCGTTCCTTATAATCTGGTTGAAACGAAATTCTTTAAACATCTTGAACAATTGAAATTAATTGCCGTTGTAAATCATACAATCATTGAAAAAACAATTCCTGATACGGTACTTTTATTAGAAGAATTCATTAATTTAGTTCGTTGGTTGTGTAAGAATAAAACATCTCTTCAACGTATATTTTCATCAATAACCTATCGTGAAAATATAACATCATCGAAGATCTCATTAAAAAATATTCAGTATTATATAAATAAAAATATAATTTCATCAATTCTTCCATTACCATCTAATATTTTACCAATAAATGTATCTATTCGATTTTCATCGAATGAACTTGAAGGAAATTTATCATTGTCGAAATATAATTTTAGACAGTTAGTTGATTTCTATTTATTGAATAAACAACATTATCTTCTTCGCAATGCTGATACATCTCTACAAGTACTTAATCTTATTTGTCAACAGTCAAATCAATTTTGTGACTCGGAATGGAATTCAGTTAAATCAATACTTTCTAATATTAAATGTATACCGACAACACAAGGTATGAAAATACCTAATCAATCATACATTCCATCGACTATTCCTTTATTACCTGAAGTACCGAAGATTACAATTAATCTTACTAATGATAATCAAAATTCAAAGAAAATCAATAAAACATATCAACAATCGACTGATGCATCAAGTGATTTCGTTTCAAAAGAGTTTCTCAAACAAATTGGATGTTGTACTTTTCATTTACAATCGTTTATCGCTGCTCGACATGCATCATCCGATGAACGTATCGAAAGATTGATTCAAGAATTAATCGAAGAACGAAGCAATATGACTGATATAGAGTTTGAGGCATTGAAGCAAACCGAATGGCTTCGAGGTAAGTGAAAACAAAAAGACTAAAATTTAAAATATTTTCTATGATTTTGTTTATTTTATAATCTGAAAAATGATTAATGAAAACAAATAACTCCTTTACATACAACATATATACATTTTAATACAGATCTTAAAATTCCCACGCTGATAAAGATTTTAAATATCCTATACGAAGACATAATCAGATTTGAACTATCTTTAATATCATTCATATCGAATGAAAATATTAATCTTAAAGTCTTATTTTGCGTAAAAAGGTGAATAATCGGATATTTTTGTCAATCATATTTAATCATAGTTCCAAATTCTGTTATTGATACATTACAATTTTTAGAAGCATGTAAAGCTTTACTTAAATGTCTAATATAATTATATGATCATAGGAACAACAAATATCTACTATATACCAAGACAACTTTGTTTTCCATCAGTTGCGATCGAACTCAATTGGCCCACATTACTTGTCATTGATTGGCCTGATATTAAATCGACTTCACAACAATATCTTTTTCTCAAACAACTAGGCGTCCGTGAAGTACCTGATCTATCACTCCTAATCGATCGTATTTCTCAAGAACACAATGCAAAGTCATCCAACGAAAAGAAAAATCAACACAAATATCAATTACCCAAAGCACTTTCTTATTTCATCAAATATTTTCAACAACATTATTCTTCATTATGGACCACAGCACATATCAATCAATTGTTTCTTCCATCTCGCTCTCCTACAACGATTACAAATGATGATGATGCTGATAATAACAATAATCACAGGAACAATGAAGTCATTTTATCAAAAGCAGATCAACTATTTCAAGGTACTGTGTCTCATGATATGAGTCTAAACATATTTATTTGATTCTGAAATATACTAGATGATAGTCCATTATGTAACACATTGTTACCTCAAGTCATGGAACTTTTCTCAAAATATTCTTTCGATATATCAAGATTCAACATAAAAAAATCTCCTTCAATAGATATTGCTTTTCGATTATTTATGGAGAGAAAGAATGAATTATTGTTTACAATCGAATCAACAAGAAAGATTTTTGCTTATCTAAATCAAATTTATGAATGGAATGATAAATGTTTCAACGAATATGTTAGTCGAATTGATTTTATTCCTTTACAAGGTTTGTTGTATTCTTATAAGATAAAATATCGAATTGTGACAGTTTGACATTTAGGAAGTAAAATACTAAAGAAACCATGTGAAGTATTTATTCGTTCGGATAATATGATATCAGTTGAAAGTTCAATAAACAATGTGGATACAAGTGGACTGATCGATTATGTAGATTTTGGTGAGGAAGGAAATAGTTTTGTGAAAAAGGTTGGTGTTTGTTGTTGGCCGTCAGCATCGGTACTTGCTCAACTTCTTCTCGATCGACAAGCTAATTATTTTGCTAGTTCTCACGGTGATAGTAACAGTATATCTGCTAAATATCAAGTCTATATTACTTTCTTGGAAGAATTGGCTACTAAAGTATCTAAATTAACAACACCTATAAAGAACCGATTACAGAATGAACCTTGGTGTGTTGGACATAAAAACCATGATAGTGAATGTGGAATATTTGAAATTGTGAAGCCAAGAGAAGTTTTTTTAGACGATCATTATCTATGCGCCAAAAAATTTGAACCTTTATGTGCGCCATACAATATTCAAATTCAGAATTTATACGAACAATTTGGATCACCATGGTTATCTATTTATGTTAAAATAACATCTATTCCGATCGGTAAGTCTATGTCTAATTTTATATCATAATATTTGATATTTTTGTTCGCTTTCTAGGAAGAACAAGTCAATCAAATCGTAGTGAAGAATTACGGCGATCAATTTCTCATCGCTTCCCAATACTATTTGTCGACAATCATGTATGTTACTAAAATAGAAAAAAAATGATTTATTGTAGTTATTATATAGTTGGAGCAATTACCTGGTATAGATGAAAGTCATCTTAAACTTCTGGAAACAACTTTATCTGTTTATGAAAATGATAATATACGATGTGATTTAACATTTCAAGGAAAAACTATTATACTTCAAGTAAGATTATACTCTCAGTTTTGCTCATATTGTTTTATGTGTCTTGTAGCCAAGTGAAAGTATGCTATGTGCACTTATCGTCAATAACGACAGGGTAGCTTTATATTTGCAAGCGAATGTACCGGAAACTGAATATTTAGATGTCGCAACTTCACTTGCTCAATTTGTGCTTCGAAAACCATCTGACGAACAAATTTCTATAATAAAAGATAAGCTTTCCTTGTCATTAGAGATACTCAAACGACGCAATGTACCTGTGAATCAGTTGATAGAACAGAAAGAGAAGCAACTAAGTAAGAAATATGTCAGACATGATTGAATTCAGTAAGATTTATTAAATATGCTTGTTTAATTGTATTAGCATATGACACTAATGAAATCGAACCAACGCCCTCCGCACCGACTATGGATATTGATAATGAAGCAGAAGAGATAGAAGCAAATGAGACGTCGAGTGAGAATTCTTCGGAAGTTAATACAAACAAATATAATTCAAAGTCAAATGATAAAGGTAATTCAAGCGATCGCATACCAGACAAGTCGTTTGAGCAAGTACACAAATCAAGAAACGACAGTAAGTGTTGTCATAAAAATTTTTTATTTTATATTTGATTATCACGATCAGTGATAGTATTTGAATAGTGTTTTGTCATCACTAATAATAGTCTCTAACAAGCATCTGTCCTGATCTAAGAGTGGAGACGGTGCGATTTTTTATTCATATACATTTTGATAGTCCTTTTCGGTCATATTTTACAAAAATATACATTGACTCTTTTAAACTACATAATCATCGTTCTTTTCCTCTGAAATAAGTAGTTATGGTAGTGGGAGACCATTTTTCAATGACATTATAAAAAATGAGTGAGTTTATAGATATGTAGAATTTAATAATTTCAGAAGCACATGCCTGCTAGAGACATGTAACTCTTAGGACTTGAAACTGAAATCCTATAAGGTAAGGTGTAAAAAAAGTCCAGAGACAAGTTTTTATTGGCTAACGTGTGTACTGAATCTAAAAAAATACATTCATCATTTCAGAGCCGCAATATGATCAAGAAACTGAATCAGACTTTACTGGCAATTCAGCTAATCTTCAACCAGGAGAACGTCATTATCATTACGAGGGTGTCGATGATTTTGGACCTCTACATCGACTTGACGATACTTTATTACGGAACATAATTCATAACTGTCGAAGATATACAGAAAAAACATTTACTCAAGAAGATATGGAACCATATATTGAGCATACATGTGAAACAAATCCTTCTGTCTATAGAACACGTTATAAAGAATTGTTCCATTCAATTCCTCTTTATATCGAACAAGGCATAACTGTAACAAAAGATATGCTTAAGCAAGCTAATCAGCTCGCATGGGTTCTCAGTAATCTTGCACAATATGTCTTCGAATTACCCATCAATACTTTTCATCTCTTTCGAGATATTAATGGATGTAAGTGAATATGACTAATTTTATCAGTGCACTTCTTTTTATATTTTTCCGCTTTTTACAGGCCATATCGCTTTCAACCAAAGCGGATCTCTTTTCTTTAATCTTCGTTATTTTGAACAAGTTTATGCTAACAAACTTGCTGCTTTTCAACAAAATCCAACTTCATCGAATAATATCGTGCAGACTATTGTGAATTTTTACTACATGACAGTGTGTCACGAGTTAGCACACAATGTTGAACACTCACATGGTCAAGCATTCATTGAACTTCTCGCAACTCTCGCTATAAAATATATGAGTAAAAGGGCTTCGTTCCTGTAATGCGTCTCATTCAAAATACTTGAAAAATAGGAATCGTGTACTGTGAACTTTCTTTTCAAAATAAATTTTCAATTTTTAATTCTTCTTCTTTGTTTATCATAACAAAAAAAACTACATATCCATTATCATGATTATGAATATGTGAAGTGAGATAGGATAGAATGTTTTTACCCACAGGCACATCTACGCCCTCAGATTAAAAGCGAATAATTATGAAAATGTCTTGAGACTATTGAGAAAATTATGTAGTAAAAACTTTCTTGACGCCGCCTATCAAATTACCTGATAATAAGCTTAAATTTTCTATTTCTAGTAAGCTAATTAAACAAAAGCGTTAATTCATATTTGCGCAGTTAATTTTCTTGAACTCAAAAGTCGTTTTTTTGTTCTATTTGATCAAGGTTCTTCAGTGCAAAAGTAGACGTTCATTATTTGAAAATGACATATTTCACATATTCTCAAACTACTCTAACCAACAACATGAAGTATATTCATAAACAGACTGATTGGCAGATGTTAATGGTGAAAGAAAGTTGTTTATTAAATGATAGATTATGGAGGGTGATAGAAATAAATAAGAAATAATAAGAGAACCCATTTGTGTTTTTAAAAGTTTTTTTACGATCTTTATATTGTGTTCCATAAGATCAAAATATTATTTCAACATCGCTATCAGCGATAAGATCCATAGCTGTTATTGAAACTTGATTTATTCTAGAAACCCGTGAAATCCACTTGTATATATATATATATATATAATATGAACAAATGAGTTCAGCTAGAAAAGTTAAGGATTTCTTTATTCATCAAGATTCGTCAGGCAATTCGATTCTTTGGAGCTATTTGTCACCAATAACATCTTCTCATATTAGACAATATTTTTACAGCAAACAATTTGATATACCAGCGACCTAAAGAGTCGTTAGAACAATTACTTTAAAAAAATTATGCTTCATTCTTTTGACGAAAGCTGAAAGTACACTGATCATTATGCTTTACGAAAGTCGAGTCTGACTTTAGACGAAGGTATAGCCATAAGTATGGATAGTATATTGACCCATGGAACCGACACTCACCATTTTCAAGATGGTTTTCATAAAATTAACCAAGATTTATTAAGTAGTAGTTGACAGTAAGTTCATAGAATATTTAAGATCTCTTGCTAGAAATTCCAGAAAAATATGAAAATTAAAATTTAAGCATAGCTTTTTGTACAATTGTCAAAAACATAATTTATTCCAAAATTTCAGTTTTGACGTATGTAATGTTCATTGATTATTTTGTAAATCTGTACTCAATATAAAAAACTGTTACATCCTATCAAAAAAAGAAATATTCTAAGGAGTGTATTCAGGCATGTTGAAATCTTTTTTTAATTATATCAAAAAGATCTGTTAACATTCTGTGCATGACAGTCTAATAGAAAATGCTCGATCCAATGATGAGTGGACTCTAAAAAAGAATGAACTATGAGATAAAAAAAAGCCAGAGAGTGCATGTTTTTCTTCAAAGAGATCGACAACCATTCCATCTATTTTTTTTTATTGTCTATAAATAATGTTTTCTATAATAACTCAGATTGCTCTTTGAGTTTGATATCTATAAATGGAAATATTATAAAGAGAAAAGTGCGGTGTGGATATATTTTTCTCGATTTTGATTTGTTAAAACTTTTTTTTTTCTTGATAAAAAAAGATGAGAAGAAGCAAAAAGCTATAGTTGTGTCTATCCACGAGTTCTCTTAATTAAAATCAAAGATAAAATACTTTTTTTAGCACATCAATCAGAGGCAAATTAGTATGTCAACTAAAGTATATTTAACGGATATAAAAAAGCATTTCTCATTCATATAAATTGTTATTTTAACAAAAGTTAGTAACATTATTTCATCATCTCTTTTCACATATGTCATCTGGAAGTGTGGATACCATCAATTTTGCGTCTACACAAGTATTTCAATATGGTTTTCTTTTT